CTGAGCTAAAGTTCGTATATATATATATATATATATATGATTATTATAAGATATATATAAATATTTAAGATTATTAAAAACCGTTAATTTAAAAAGAGGGATAGGGATCTTCAAAAAATTACAGAAACAAGATAGGTAGCTTAAAGTGAAAATGCAATCGCAAAAAAAAAGAAGTAAACAAACAAGCTTAACGTTTCAGACATAATGTTGACATTATTTCCTCAAGCCACAAATCCTTATTTTGACTCTCCTAAATATTACAACATAGTTTGTGTATGGTGTTCTCTCAGGAAACAAAGACAACCTTTGGATTTGCTTTATGCAAATTGGATGGCTTTTGCTCCTGATGTCATTGATAGTAATACTGCATGTATGATCACTATGATGCATGGTGATCAACATACCACATGTTATGTATATGCTTGTAAAATTTACATAGCTACTAAATTTACACCCTTTACCTTTATCGGGAGTCTGTAAACACTGGATTGAAGTGACTATTGAACTATACTGGAATGGTGCATGGATTGAGTTTTGTAACCGTTTGAGTTTTATACATGCATGCACATGTTAGTATATATATATATATACATGCAGGATTTATAGTTTTTTCTTAAGTTGTATACATACAGATAGACATATGAAGTTTTCAAGTTGTATAGATGAACGTATATATATTCAATGCAAATATAAGAAAATGTATCATAAAATAATAGTATATGTATACAAATAAGCATCTTTAATATTTCTTATAGATGTTATATTTCCTCCTTCCTCTTCCTCCTCCCCACTGACTATAGTAAGACCAGTCACGGTTTTCTCTTAGAGTGACATTCTGCACACTGTACAAGGTCGAAAACGTGTTAATTAACAGTTATGAATTGATTATATTAATATACCTTCCCTCCCCTCTATTTCTGATGGAGTTTGGATCGTGACACTTCTACGACCCTCTTTCACTGTGACGACCCTAAAGTCTGGTGAGCCGTCGCTGCTGCATATTTTATCTGGAATTAAATATTTTCTAAATAATTTATATAGAGACAAAATTTCTGCCCCACTTTCGCCCAGAATCGCCATCTCTTGCTTGCACAATTCTTGCTACTCCTTATAGTCAGCTTCAAGGATGGCTACTGTATCTGTAAAATTCGCAATCACACAGTGTTGACTATAATTCGACACTTACCATCAGCCATCCTCGTGACTGCCGATGCTCAACACTGAGCTAGGTGCTACCTTTTAAACTGCCCCTCAGTGGCACAGCGGTATATCTTCGGAAAAACACCGCTAGAAACCGGGTTTCAATACCCGTGATGGGCAGAGCACAGATAGCCCATTGTGCAGCTTTGTGCGTAACTTCAAACAAAAACCCTTTAATCTACGGCTTAAACATTTCTGTTGTGGGAGACAGACTAGACGTTTGTATAACGTTTTAGACGTTTGTATAACATGGACGAAATCGATAATGCATTGGTAAAAAAACAACTGTGATCGTGTCAGCAGCGTCTTGTCCTAATGGGCAGGTACCCTATATATAAATATATAATAATGTGTCATGCTTACCATATAAATATTAAATTACATCCATGGTCTGCACGCAGATCTATATGTATGCATGTAGCATATTATGAGGCTCCATATAAACCACAAACTACATTGAAACAACTGGGTGTCAACTAATATACAGCCGCTGTTACTTTCTAGGTAGTCAAATAAACTTAAAAACTACCCCACAAAAGGTGCAAAGATACGTTTAATAATATTGTTCAGGTTTTATTAAAATACTCCGCCATTTTTGCTGAGTATCACTTTTTAAATACAGCGATTTATCGCATCGAGTGACATAAAGCATGCTTTGTTTTATAAGTCCAAAAATTCATACATGAGGGAATATAAGACAACAAAGTAGCACACCAAGTAATATAACTCACTTTCTCTTTATGAAGACAACGATTTTATAAATCAAATATGTAAGGCACACTCTACTTTATAAAAAAAATACAACTTAAGACCACTAGTTAATAAAGATAAACTTCACTTTAAAAATACAACGATTTAGCACATAAAGTAACATAAAACACCTTTTACTTTAGGAAGACAATAAGTTAGTACATCAAGTAACAAAAGGCCCACTATGTTTACTATATGAAGACAACGACTTAGCAAATCAAGTTATTTAAGACACAATTCACTTCAAGAATACCAAGATTCGGCACGTCACGTAGCATAAGGCATATTTCATTTTATGAAGAAAACGATTTAGTAAATAAGGTAACATAAGGCATCCTCTTCTATATGAAAACAACGATTTAGCGCAACAGGCTACGTAAGACTCACTTTATTTTAAATCTACAACGATTTTGCATATCAAGTAACATAAAGCATCTTTAATTTATAAAGACAACAATCTTACTATATTGGAGCAATGGCGTAGCCGTCTGTATATCTATCTATGTGACCCAAATAATAAATACAATAGTGTCATCTATTGTGCAAAAATACAAAATCTTAACCCTATAAAAGTGGTGATTGAGGCTTGTGAAATGTACGCCATCTATCGATTGGCATCGCAAACAAATATCACTTTGGATATCACAGTAATTCCTGTACACTGAATCTGAAAATAATATTCATTTTTATCCATCACGTACAGATTTTAAACAAAACGTAATACGTACTTTTACATAAGTGAATCATTTCAATTGAAATTGGGTCACATGTTGTTATGGTCAAAATGCTGACAACCACTGGTTTCTCTAGACTAATCGCAACGTGAGAGTCTTATCGATCGTTCTAGAAGAACCCACGAGAAATACATTGCTAGTATATAAACGGTTAACAGGCCGCATGATGTGTCATTTCTGGATTTGGTAAGAGATTTGAGTCTTCCAAAGGATTCTCCAAAGATTTGGGGGTCCAGACTTCGGGCTAAGAACTTACTTTCTCCGAGGGCATCGTTTTAATGGTACAGCAATCGTGAGAAAAATTTTATAACATACTTTTTACAAGAAGGTTCACTGATTTACTGCAACAGTATCGCTGTATTAATACCAATGCTAGGAGCTGCAGACTGTAAACCAAGTAAAAGGCGATTGTTCACTGATTCCTCCAGATAAAGCCTAAAAGGTGTTCTACTTCACAATGGTAACATATATGCATCTATTCCTATTGCTCATTCGGTTCACTTGAAGGAAACGTACGGAAATCTCGAACTTCTTCTTAATAATGTCAAATACAAAGAACATGGTTGGCTACTTTGTGGAGACTTAAAAGTCCTGTGTATATTGTTGGGTCAACAATCCGGTTATACAAAGTTTTCATGTTTTTTTTGTGTGTGTGAATGAAGCAGCAGTTCACAAAATCAGCATTGGATAAAACAAGCAATGGCCATGCAGAGTCAGCCTGATACCAGGATCGAAAAACATTGAACGTGAAAGTTTGGTTGACATAAAGAAAGCCCTACTACCTCCACTTCACATAAAACTGGGCTTGATGAAGCAGCTTGTAAAGGCCTTAAACAAAGATGGCGACTATTTCAAGTATCTATGTGGGCAATTCCCAGCTCTTTCAGAAGCGAAAGATTAGGAAATTGACTTCTGATGAACAGTTCGAAAGGACAGTGAGGAATTTGAAAAAAGAAGCATTGATTGCCTTTTAGGAAACAACAAGGACCCAAATTACAAAAATATTCTCAATATCATGCTCGATGAATTCAAATAGTTGGTTTGTAATATGAGTTTGAAAAATCATTTCTTACACTCACATATTGACTATTTCCCTGAAAATCTCGGTGTCGTCACGAAGAACAATGGGATAGGTTTCATCAAGACATCAGGGAAATGGAGAGGAGGCATCAGGGGAGATAGAACATCAGCATGATGGCTGATTAATGCTGGTCTTTGAAACGAGATGCTCTAGACACAATACATAAAAGAAAGACCACAATACATATTTTTGAGACTAAAAAGACATAGATTTCACACAAAAAATCAGGATGAATGAAGATGCATATTCGTTTGACATCAATATTCTCCCCTTTTCTTCAGTTTGTTTGTATTTTTGGAAACAGACATAATAACAAAAAAATTAATTGTTTTAAACGAAATGACAATTTGATTTTATCCTTCCTGATTTGTAAAAAATTGTTATGTGATAGAAAAAATAATAATATAATTTTCGAAATCTGCATAGCTGAATTATGGAAAATTCGTTATTAAAACCAAAACAACTTTTATGAAGTTTATATTCACAGGCCTGTATATTCAATATTCAGACAATTAGAAAAATAACTATGGTATGTACAACAACCATTTCTTTATAACAAAACACAGTTTTAAATAAAATTACTATCCTTACAACAATATTACGACTTTCACTAGGACTGTACGCGAGGGTTTTATTATATCTTTATTGATGTAATTTTTTAATGTAGTACTAAAAAACTGGAGTCCTTAAAAATATTATTTTTTCAATAAAGAGTAGCACTTTTAATATATATATATAAAAACATTGCAATTTATATCAGTAAAACTTATGAATATTTTGAGCTCTGTACAATGAATCATTTTGATGCAATAAGTTACATATGACTAAAGGGCACAATTTGAACACTTTTCCGGTGCAGTACTTCCCAGAAAAAAAAATACCTTTTTTTAGAAAATATTCACTTTTTTACAATGAGGTATGACTACTACAATTACTAAATGCAAGCACAAACAGTAAAAGTAAAGTTAGACTGCGTGATTGTCAGTTCAGCCATATGGAGCGATTTCTAAAGTGAATTTCACAGCTTGTATGTAATAACAGAGATAGAGGAGAATAACTTGTCTTGTCAAAGGGTGTTATAAAGTAATTGAACCCGCCTGTATGGACTTTGAAGAAAAAAGAGACAATCATTTAAAGCTCTGGATAAAACTGTTATAACTAATAGTGTAACGAATTTTTGTACATACGTTTGACTTGTTTTGAATATATTATATATATTAGTGGATTGTGTACTGTCCATATATTGTTAAAATGTTTCGCCAACAAGTCATAGACACCAACTATAAAGAATCTGGCCCTACAAAAATGACAGACAACAATTTAGTGCATAATGAACAATCTACATTATGAAAACGACGACTGAGAAGAACAAGTTACTTAAGGCGCACTTCACCTGAAGAATACAACGATTGAGCACATCAATATAATAAGAAACGCGTTACTTTATGAAAACACCGTGCGAGCACAACAAGTTACTTAAGTCACACTTTGCTTTAAGAATACAACGATTGAGCACATCAAGTAACATAAAATACATTTCTCTTTATAAAGACGGCGAGGAAATATATTAAGTTTGTTTGTTTGTTTGTTTGTTTTGTTTGTTTTGTTTTGAATTTCGCGCAAAGCTACACCAGGGCTATCTGCGCTAGCCGTCCCTAATTTAGCAGTGTGAGACTAGAGGGAAGGCAGCTATTCATCACCATCCACTGCCAACCCTTGGGCTACTCTTTTACCAACGAATAGTGGGATTGACCGTCACATTATAACGCCCCCACGGCTGAAAGGGCGAGCATGTTTGGTGGGACAATATATTAAGTAACATTAGGAACAATATTTTATATTGAAAAAAAAAAGATTATGCACATGTTACTTAAGGCATATTTCACTTCAAAAATGCAACAATTTAGCACAGCAAAAAAAAAAAAAGGCACATTTATTATATGATGAAAACGATTTGGTATATGAAGTAACATAAGGGACATTCTACTTTATAAAAAAAAACGGCTTAACACAACAAGTTACTTAAGGCACACTTCCCTTTAAAACTACGGCTATTTAGCACATCTTGTAACATAAGGTACACTTTACTTTATTAAGACAACAAGTACATCAAGCAATATAAGGCACTCTCTACTTAAAGAATAAAACGTTTTAGTACACCAAGTAACATAGGCACATTTCACTTTATGAAGACAACAACTTAGTACATAAACTTCACTTCAAAAATACAACGATTTAGCAGTATTAAATAACATAAAGCCTATTCTGCTTTATGAAGATAACGACTTAGCATAATAAGTTACTTAAAGCACATTTCAATTTAATAATACAACGATTTAGAATATCATGTAAAATAAGAAGACGACGAGTTATTAACTCAAGTAACATTAGGAACACTTTATGAAGATAACAATTTAGTACATCAAGTAAC